GTTAATACTCTTCATATGCACATGTCATAACACGCCGTTTTGCCAGACGGTATGGAAAATGAAAAGACTACCGGTCAATAAGAAGAGCTGAACTAAACGGAGCAGGGAATATTCTGACCCCTCAACATTACTGGAACGAGGAAGGGCATCATATGTACCCCACCCCTACAGTTGGCTACGACAGTGCAGTAGCGGTCTAAGAAGATAATTACAGTAGTTTGTGTTCGCGATTCCACCAAATAATCGGTCTAAGAAGATAATTACAGTAGTTTGTGTTCGCGATTCCACCAAATAATCGGTCTAAGAAGATAATTACAGTAGTTTGTGTTCGCGATTCCACCATTTATGTGAATAATAAGAGTAGTCTGTGTTTGTGATTCCAGGATCTCGTTTGTTTTTTTTTTTCATTGACTCGCGTGTGTGACCGATTGTGTGTATATAACTTTTAAGTTCGTGTGTTTTTCATTGACCTTTTCATTTTGTTTAAAGACATTTTTGGATATTATGACATTTTACATGTATATATAACTTTTAAATTCGTGTGTGTTTCATTTACCTTTTCTTTTTGTTTATAGACATTTTTGTATACGACATTTTACGAGTGTTGTTTGTTTTTATATATTTTTTCATTATTATTATTGTTGTTTATATCTTAATAAGAGTAGTAATTATCGACTCCATAGGTATCTAATTTTGTAATAGTCTTTAAAAGTTATTTCATATAATTCATAACTTTATTCAAACAAAGAGAGGTATATAACATAATGACTTATGTCATAGAGGCGTCCTGCCATATTAAAATACGTGTTAGTGATTGTAACATAAACCTGTCGCTATCAATACCCGGCTGGAGATCTTGGTAGTATTCCTTATGTCATTGCGTAACTATAACTTGTTGTTGGCATGTCTTATCTAACTTTCTTTGTCTGATAAACTATATTGAATGTTAAACCTTCATATGATGCTTGATACATTAGACAGGTGTCTAATGAGCTCCTTTGTCTCGAATACGTTTATAAACTCAGAACAGAAACGAATCTTTAGGCGGGTCCAGGAGGCCATGCTAGGCGGGTGCCTAGATCAAGGTACCTAATGGATACGAGAGAGGTCCAGGCAGGGCTAGGAATTAGGTCCGGCCAGGACTGAGCTAAGGCCATGGGCGCCTTGGCACGAGACGGTACGAGACGACAGCTTCTGGAGTTAGCACACTCATGCTAAGCCAAGCTAATTAAGTCATGACTCCTTCCATATAGTTAGTTCTACGGTCGTTTACATCACGATGTTTGTACCTAATATTGTAAGAAGCAGAATAAAACTATTATTAGATGTATATACCAGTGTTGTCATCAAAGAACCCGATTTAAGAACCAATACTGTCACACTGTGTGTGCGTGTGTGTGGGGGGTGGGGTGGCGGGGTCGAAGTTTGAGATAGCCCCAAGTTTGACGCGAGGTCTGGGGATTACCTGAGAATTAAAAAAAACAAATTATATTATTTTTCATGTCCCTTATCAGCCACCGTATTAGAGTAGTGTGAGGCCAAAATGGGGGCGATTCATTCTGATTAAAATACAGATGTATATTCGGCCTCTACTACAAGTAGTAGTGGGAGGTCGCGTCAGGGATCATACGAGCGGCTATTGACCTGTGACGTCAGACATTTGATTATCCAATCAGCGTTGATATTTTTTTTTACTTCCGTGCAACGTACGAATAGAATTCGCTGCAACGAACCGTTTCATTGGCTAATGCCTCACATCATCCAGAATGCGGCTTATATAACAACTCTTCCAGATACTAGTGTAGTAAAGAGAAGTAAAACGAAATTTTGAACTATAAAAAAACGAAACGAAATAGGATCTGTGTTTTAATCAGATTGCAATGCACCCCACGTTTGTTTGTTCGGCATTATTTCGGTAAATGTAGGGGAAAACCATTTGCTCTCAACGCACACCTGTCGAAATTTTTCCAATTTATTTAGGGTATTTCTGAAACGAAATAGGATCTGTGTTTTAATCAGATTGCAATGCACCCCACGTTTGTTTGTTCGGCATTATTTCGGTAAATGTAGGGGAAAACCATTTGCTCTCAACGCACACCTGTCGAAATTTTTCCAATTTATTTAGGGTATTTCTGAATGGAAATATATAGTAGCGGAAAAGGATATAGTCTCCCCCATGAAATGGGTGTAAAGGGGCCCATACACGTTCAACAATTCCGTCAATTCCGCTGCATCCATTTTGAAAAATGACCAAAAAATGATGAAATTATTGATGGAAATATTGAATCGTGTGTGGGCAATTCCTGTCAATATTATTGAGTCAATATATCGAGTCAATAATATTGATGGTTTTATTGAACGTGTATGGGCCGCTTTAGTAACCGAAACTCCTCTGAACACATTTTGATTCTGACTGCATACATTGACCTGCCATGATATTGTTAGTGGCGGTAACGTACCGCTTGCTTGCATTAAGATCAGGGGCCGAGTCTCCAAATTCTATCGTTATCTTGCTAACGTGTCGTTTGATAACGCTCCGTTTAATTTATGTTGCTGGAAAGTCAATTTCATTGTGTTAGCTGACGGGCTGATTAAAGTTAATCCAAGAGAAGACTGTGCGGTCTCGGTTATACATGTATAACATTTTCATAGAAGTTATTAACAAGAAACTGAAAAAAGTGGGACAATTGTGCAGTCTGTTCACAAAACTTGATTAAAGACAAGATAAATGTAAAAATTCGTACGGACATTTATAGAATACCATAGTATTTTCATATTTAAGTTTTAACATATTTATATCTGTAGAATATCGTCCTATGAAAAATGCCCCTACCCCACCCGCAAATGGTAGATTTGTTATTGTTTTGGATAAGGCAGTTTTCCTCTTTTTTAGATCAAAAGTACCTCGTGGTCGACTTTTTTCATACAATTAGTAAAATAATATGTAACTAATCAGACATAATAATTGTTTAGCAATAATATTTTTAGTAAGCTGGTAGGGAATTCGAAATACGAGTATGTATTGCCAATCCCCTACGTCATAAGCCCAGCCGATGCAGAAAAGTAGGACGTTAAACCCTATTTCATTTCTGCAGCATTTGAAACCACTCCCCGGTGGTCTTCATCTCAGTTGCCATTGGTTTTCTAAACCGTAACACATATTTAAAGATACATTATGGGAGATTTGATAAAGAGCTGGTAGTTTCACTATAATGAGATCATCATTACTCAGGTCGGTACGATAAGAATCATAGTCTCGATTATCCATTTCATGATTAAATCAGAAGCAGCAGACCGGGTTTTAATCCAGTAAGTATCACAGGCTAGCGAGTTGATTGTGGTCTGGATAAGTTAATTATTGTCTAATTAATAATTTAGATAACATTTCAGGCCCAAAGAAGGACCTGCAATAGGCAGATTTAGCTCTTGCATAATGTATGTTTATGGTTAGAGGCGCATCTGAAGTGGATCATCATCACATAAGGACAGGGGAGCATCTGAAGTGGGTCATCATTACACTCACCTAAATAATCAATTTTTATGCATTTCTTAAACTTGCGTGGTTTGTAGATAATATTTAAGATTAACGTATGGTAGTTCAGGGTGCGGGAGGGTCATGTCAAATTTGAAATTGGGTAAACAAGGAAGTATTTACAGTGCATATAGCTAAATCTATTTGTTAAGGCCAGCTCAATTTTCGTCAAGGTCGATGAGATGTATCCATATAAAGCATGATAACCAATCAACTAATTAGTTTATAGTGACGCACGTCTGGCTTAGGGAGAGAGAGAGAAATGAGGTTTACCGTCCACTCGACACAAACTAGGTCATTTCGGGACTAACATATGGTTTCATTTTATTTTAATAATTCGCTTGCGCGTAGGGGTCTTTAGCAGTGGGGGAACCGGAGGACCCGGAGAAAACCCACGAGATTGGACAGGCGACCCTACTCCTTGTCACGTACAACCAGGGAATCGAAACCACGCCAGTTGACTCAATGACAGACCTTATAATACAACACACAAGCGCGGCTGCGTTACACATCGTCGCCATCTCGCGGTTCATGGTGGTACTTGTTTAAAACACCCGCTATCTATATCTGTCCATTGACAAGAGCTAATCTTTCATGAAACACGACATAATCGGAATGACTTAAAGGTGCTAAACCTTTAATATTTGGGACCTAGAAAATGGCCACAAATAATATGAATGTATATAAACTGATTTACATTCAATCATTTCTGTTTTTACTCTAATTTGAAATCAGTATAATGTTCGGCAGAATACGCCATAAGTCTCAATCGATTGGCAATCTCTAAGCGTCTGGTTATTCCAGATCGGTAGTATTTATTGCGCGTTTTATATGACTTGTGGAATATGTCTAGCCCCGTTCTTCGAGTTCCTTGTTACAAATGGCGCTGAAACGCATTCTTGGAACACGATTCGTGTACCAATGGTAAAATGTTTATTTTGTCTTAAATATTGGATATCAGAAGCCCATCTGTTTCCGGTAAGATCACAACATCAATGTTGATTTAAATTGACAAATAATTTGTTTTCAATGCCAAAGACTGGATGATATTGAGTTAAAGACTTAGCTACTTGAATCTATTCTTCGTAAGTAATGTCTTTGGGAGCAATATTGTTTTATTCTATAACGATAACATTCTTTTACAGTGACCCACCGACTTATCCAAGAAGTCACAGTGACTCCCAAATGTCGACGAACCCTTGTAGAATTTTTCCTGTTACCAGAGTTAGTTACCCTTGACCGATTTGATAATCATGTTGCACCTACACAAGTCAAATTTGGGAGTATAGGCCTTTTCTCTTCAGTGACCCTATCAGTGACATTATCAGCCTGTATAGCACCAGCATTATCTCTGATTAATTATCCATATTGGTCTGGTGTACGATGACACGCTGCATGTATCTTGAGCACGCACCTGTCCGATTCTATGTGACGTTATCACAGCCCAGTCTATAAGACAAAATGCAACAGATTTAATTAGTCACAAGTCGATAGAAAGGCAATAGGAAAGGTAAGAAGTTCCATATATTATTAGTAGTAGTGAATTGAAATGAAAAGAAATGGAGTTTAGTGTATTACTTTTCTCATACTCCTCGCAGTGTTTCGTTTGATTATACCTAATCCCACTAAACACTGCTTTAACGAAAGCAAATTTCTGTTCCAAATTATGACTGGTCAATGGTCCGATTAACAACCAATAGCTAACTGCGTTACAAAAGTATTACGCTTAAAACAGAGCTCCAAATTGGACCAAATATGTTTACATAACGTTACGTCATGACTCACGATTTTATTATGCCCAATTAACCAGTGTATAGCAGAATATTGCAGAAAAACTAATTGCGTGATAAACGATTTTATCAAATCGAAAACAATGTAAACAATACTGTTTGGAGACGAAAATACTTTCACCGTTTTTAATACCTTAAATCACTGTCCAAAGTTTTAGGGAAGACCCAGATTAAACTGGAAGAATAGACAAACTCCCTCAAAAGCTCAAGTATCAGAAGCCAATCCAGCAATGGCCAGAGGGGGGTTTCTCGGGCCATTGCTTCAGGAATATGCACTTTTCTGTGCCAACCAGTAGACTAAAAAAACGGTATACACCCCATGCAGTGTGCTATGAGGGAAATTTTGCCCAGATAACTGTGCTATGGCCTACTCTTACTTCCATGTTCAACTGTCGAGGGATATTTAACGTGCTATCAGTGGTATGCACGGGACATGTAATTTTGTCCCAGCATGAAAGATACATCATGGGAGATCAGATAAACAGTTGAAAATTCTTGCTATAATAGTTAAAAACTAGATAAACAGTTGAAAATTATTGCTATAATCGTTAAAAACTTGATAACGTAAATATAAGATGTTGAAAGTTTCAGTCAAATTGCTCCACCATGAACCGAGATATTAGCTTTTGAATTTTAAACCTAGCCTCGATCATCATTACTAAAGTCGATACGATAAAAAACATAGTCTCGATTATCCACATTTGGGTTTAATCATCAACGAGAGTTGAGCTGCAGATTGGAAACCGAGACATAAGATGACATCGAGAGTTGATTATGGTTTGGATAAGTTAATTAATGTCTAATTAATAGTTTATATAACATTTCAGGACTAAAGAAAGGCCTGCAATAGGCAGATTTAGCTCTTGCATAATGTATGTTTAAGACTAGATTCCTTTTCTTGCCAGGGAAAATTCCGAGGAACTTCGTAGGCCAGCATCTCTCTAGGCACCGTGGCTCCCATTAGTATTAGTAACATGTCCATTGTTCGAATTCCTTGTGCCTGTCCGAAATGATACCGATCCCATATTATATATAATGGTAGAATACGAAATATGACCATATTTAGGAATAAGATCTTGAATTCACTCTAAACCCAGAAACCCATTTCAGACAATACATAAAAGGAAGCATGAAACCCAAATTTTGGTATTTCTTATGACCTACCTTGAGATGTGTATAAACATTATATTTTGGTATTTATCACCTACCTTGAGATGTGTATAAACATTATATTTTGGTATTTGTTATCACCTACCTTGAGATGTGTATAAACATTATATTTTGGTATTTGTTATCACCTACCTTGAGATGTGTATAAACATTATATTTTGGTATTTGTTATCATCTACCTTGAGATGTGTATAAACATTATATTTTGGTATTTGTTATCACCTACCTTGAGATGTGTATAAACATTATATTTTAGTATTTGTTATCACCTACCTTGAGATGTGTATAAACATTATATTTTGGTATTTGTTATCACCTACCTTGAGATGTGTATAAACATTATATTTTGGTATTTGTTATCACCTACCTTGAGATGTGTATAAACATTATATTTTGGTATTTGTTATCACCTACCTTGAGATGTGTATAAACATTATATTTTGGTATTTATCACCTACATTGAGATGTGTATAAACATTATATTTTTTAGATTCCACCATAATAATGACTACTTTGGTTGTGTTTGTCGCCATCTTGGCTTGGTATGTTTTTGTTTGTTTAACAAACGCTAGTGTCAAATATGTTTCTCTGAGTAAACTTTCCTGAATTTCCGATAATTAATAGGATCTAGGATTTTTCTCTGATCTTCATTTGCCTTTTTCAGACCATATTTAATTGTTGCTGGGTTAATCACCACTAAATCCACTGAGAGAGAGAGAGAGGGAGAGAGAGAGAGAGAGAGAGAGAGAGGGAGGGGTATGGTGACTAGCATTTGAGTAATTCGCTTGCCCGTTAGAGGTCTTTAGTAGTGGGGAGGAAACTAGACCTAGGTCATTTCGGGACTAACATATGGTTCAATTTTATTTCAATAATTCGCTTAGGCGTATTGGACTTTAGCAGTTGGCGAAAACCGGAGGACCCGGTGGAAACCCACGGGGTTGGACTGGCGACCCTACTCCTTGTCACGTACAAGCAGGGAATCGAAACCACGCTAGTTGACTCAATGGCAGACCTTATGAAACAAAGCACAGGCGCTAACCATTCAACCATCCATCCCCCCCCACCTCCTAAATATCTTTCAATTCAACATCTTTGTAAACACTGAATGGATTTGAACCATTTTTGGACTGGTATTCCTATTAGAAATTCAACTTTCACAATATGGTAGTTTGCACCGGATTAAAGATACATTAGCTAAGAGTTTAATAAAGAGTTGGTCATTCTTGCTATAATAATTCAAAAATAGATGATAAAAAAAGAAAATACTGAAAATTTCATTCAAATTACTTCATTCTCAGCCAAGTTATCATTGTTTGTAGTTTTGACAAGATGTGTGCACAGTGGTAAACCAGCGCACTGGTATAATCGGGACTTAGTCTCGCTTTCCCATTTTTAAATTAAATTTTTAAATGGCGAACCGTTTTAATCTAGTTAAAATCTCGAGTATCCGATGCCATCGAGAAACGATTATGGTCTTGTTTTGTTAATAAATGTCTAATTAATAGTTTATATAACATTCCAGACCTAAAGAAAGACCTGTAATAGGCAGATTTAGCACTTGCCTAATGCATGTTTAACAAATGTTGATAAGAGATTTTGATTACACTTGGTAAAAGTCAAAATGCACTTTAACTATGTAACCCAAGAAAAGATCTAAAACCTGTGAAATCAGCATGTGTGTTAGTCATAAGAAACTAGTTGACCGACATCAACGATTCTAGTCGAAAACACTAAATATACTTCGAGAATTTTAAGAAGTCCAATATTCTGCTTCTAATTTCATAATTAATGATAATTAGAAATGTTTATTTAGTCTTTGGGTGTATGAATATCGCAAAACGGATTAGAGCCGCATAACATAAAGAGTACAATAATTTTTCAACATGGCGGGCAGTCAGGGCAGAGATCGATTCTCTAAGTAGATAGTTCCCCGTGTGCATAATGGGCTAGTGCGTCAACTGAAAGTTCAGCCTAAAAGTGGGGGTTCTCTTGTTAACTATGTAAAATCGTCGGCTTGCCTTTCCTTTAACAGTGTCTGGTCAGCACCATGTGTACACAATAACCATGCTGATTTAACAGAAGAACATGTTATTAATATGGTTATAGAGTCTGCTGATTTTAATGATGATGGTATTCTCGACGAACTTGATCTTGTCAACTTCCTTACTCGTTATGATGCTAACAGTAAGTTTTTACAGAGAGAGAGAGACACACACACACACACACACACACAGAAAGAGAGAGAGAGGGGGGGGGGGTCAACACCACTTGCCTCCCCCCCCCCCCCGCGAGTGACAGGGAGGATTGGGCGTCACATCCACTCGACGGTAACCAGGGGTCATTTCGTGACTGGCATATCATACAGGTTCGGTACCAAACCCATAACGTGCATAGATAACAACCCCTATCTTATCTACAGCGTGCCTTTTAGATTGTACCAGGTGTCATAGGTAAAGTCTAAAAGTTAAGGCCCATCGCATGCAGATATCGTCATAGGTCGCTAGATGTGAATAGGGTTAGGGTGACCTATGACTAAATCTGCAGTGGGCGTTACCCAGTGTCATAGGTGTTTTATAAGGACCAAGCCTAGTAATTGCTTCCCCTGGCATGATGACATGATGAACTTGTTGGGGTTATAAAGATTAAAATCATCGTTCAATAACGATCTAATTGGACGCTTTCACTCACGTGACAGCCATTGTATTCCTCCGAAGAAACTAACAACGGCGCATATGCATTGTCATCTTGTAATTTCAGATAATATGAAAGTAGAAAAAGTGGAATTTGCCAATGGATGGGTTTCAAATTACCATGACGAGAGAGCTTTTGCAGAACATGTGTTTGATTTTCTGAATACTGATGCCGATGGTGTTCTAGAGCCTGGTGACGTACCTGCTCTTAAGGCGAGAGCTGATAAATCAGGTACGTAGGTACACGTTTTCATTTGGGTATGAGAGAGAGAGAGAGGGAGAGAGAGAGAAAGAGAGAGAGAGGGGGTTAATCTGGACGAACATATCGCAGACAAGTTTACCCGAATGAAACCCTAGCACATAAATTCACTGGGCAAACTGTTCAGTTTACAGTTAAAGATGGGTTCCCGCGTGCAAACTGGGTGATTTAATGGTATTTATGGACCAAAAACATATTCAAACTAATTAATTTGTCATAATTATGCTTCAAATCCTTGTTGTCTTTAATCGCTTACTATTTATTACAAATATCGAATCCTAATTAAATTCTCGGATTATCCACTACCCACGTCTTTTTCCGTCATTTTTATCTCAGAAAGTGTTGTACTTCTAACTCTTCATAAAGTTTATCAACTTGTACATCGAGCGCTCAATGTTCGCTTGTGACCTTTGACACCACGCGTGCAGAAGTTTATAATCGTCGGGCTGTTGATTAGGGAAACCCTTACGTTTTTGTCCTGTATACGCTCCATGAGTGTTTTTCGGGGAATCCAGTATTTTTCTAGTAAGATTGGATATCTCTACTTTCCATATATACCAAAATTGCCATACTTTTATTGGAAATAACCACCCGATAAATACTTTTCCGGGAACTCATCTTTAAGGCGATTCACTGGGCAAACTGTTCAGTGTACAGTTAAGGCGATTCCTAGTCTTGCTCGATTCCTTTTCTTGTTCAACCTGTTTAAAATACTGATCTATATTTCGTTTCGTTTTTTTAATACTTAAGATGGTCTCTACTACATGAAGATCTGACCAGTTGAAGTAGGGGTTGGGGGTGGGGGCGTCAGATGTCATACGAGCGGCTTTTGACCTATGACGTCAGAATGTGTTAACGAATCAGCGTTGATTTTTCTAGTGCGTTATCCACAGTTCCGTGCAACTCACGCCACAGACTCGCCGTAACAGAGCGTTTCATTGGCTAATCCCTCACATCATCCATAACGCCGGTTATAGTAAAGACAAGTAAAACAAAATTTTGAACTATAAAAAAACGAAACGAAATAGGATCTGTGTTTTAATCAGATTGTTTCTTATGCTAGCACAAATAATTTTATATATAACAGGTGATGGTAAGGTTCAAGTATCAGAAATGAGAACGTTTTTAGAAGCTGTAAGTATTGATTTGTAATAATTCGGATGCTATGAAAACCGAAGGATCTGGGTCCTGGTCGATCGTTTTAGGAATGGAATACATATTTTAGTTCAATAATTCACTTCCACACAAGTGACAGGCAATCCAAAACTTGGTCAGAAATAGGCGTGGAATCGAACTCATGATAATTACATCACTGACAGATCGTATGGTCTAAAACGTATGCATTAGACGCCTCTCACCTTCCCTCGCCCTTTTCTTTGTATACAGAGAAAATACATCATAGAAGCGATCTGCCTATATAACTATGGGGATTTTTTTTTTTACTTTACTCAGGTTCTGTGAATTTCTGTGGACAGCAAAATGGCAGCGGGTTTATTGCACAGCGAGTAGCATAGATCGATGACATTTCAAATCCACATATCTATTTTAATACTGAACTGAATTGAGCCATTTTTGGACTGATATTCCTAGATTCATCTTTTACAATATTGTAGTTTTCGTATTGCTTCAAATGGCGCATCGGTACTTTAAATATATATATATATATACTTGAAGATCGATCATATTGTATATATACTCTTCAAAAAAAGTAGGGGATATTGACATGCAAATACCTATGCAGGTTGTGATATGATAAATAGTCATGGACCCTTGGCATGCTTTGAGAGTATGTTCACAGATGAAGAACTTATCGCCCCATTATAACCACTGAGCTGCACATGCGACACGCATTGTCAAATTTGACACTTGAGGAAGGGGTGATGAAAACTGAGGCTTGCTGGTTTATCCTATCCATGTTTGCTTTCCCCATCGGTTCTTGCATAAGATTTACTGTTTAGGGTATCTTTGCTTTAGTATGTTACGTTTAATTTGATCGGGAGACGTGTTCGTCGACGTCAACATCAACCGACAACACTCCAAGAATTGGCTGTGGCACTGCAAGAGGAGTCGGTCAGATTGCCCCAAATCGTGATTGGACGGTTGATTAGGAGCATGCCACGGCGAATTGCTGAATGTCTGAGGATTGGTGGAGCAATTACTCATTATGAAGACAAAAATCAAAGACGTCCATTTTCACTTTTGACAGTGTATCTCTTTGCGAGTGAAATGGGGCCGTCAGATAAGCCGCCCATTTGAACTGTGTTCAGGCAATTGGCCTGTTATTAACATACACTGGTTACCTCTAATAAAAACAGCAGTGCATTTCCGCAGTCTTGTATTGTTTCTGAATATCCCCTACTTTTTTTTGAAGAGTATATATATATATTTAAAAACGATCGACGATGGAACTTTATATTGATTTTTGTTTCAGATTTACAACGCTTGTTAATGAGATTACAGGAAACAGTCAATAAACCACAAATAAACAGTAAAATAAAATGTTTGGTTTAGAGTCAAATTCCATCTCATTAATTTGCCCTTACCCAAATGAAGTGACGACACCACCCACATGAAGTGTGAATGACACTACACTGAAAATGCCCTTCATAGTATAGCACACTGCATGGCATATGCCCATCTTCATTTCATCATGGGGGTTGGATGGCCGAATGGTTAGCACGTGCGCGCTGTATCATTGAGTAAACTGGCTGGTTTCGATTCCCCGGTTATACGTGACAAGGAGTAGGGTCGCCTGTCCAACCTCGTGGGTTTTCTCCGGGGAATGGCCAAGGCTGCTTATATTTTTATAGGGTAATCTTGAAAATATTGTCCAGCCAGCGAGGGGGGGGGGGGGAGTAAACGTCTACTAGACACACCTTAGGCAAATTTGGGAGTAACATATGGTTCATTTTCAACAATTCGCTTGCGCGTAGGGGTCTTTAGCAGTGGGGGGACCCGGAGAAAATCCGTGAGGTCGGACAGGCGACCGGGAATCGAAACCACGTCAGTTGACTCAATGACAGAGCTTATGATAAAACGTACCCGCGCTAAACATTCGGTCACCCACACACCCCTTCAGAATAAAGAAGTAAAAGTTTTGACTGCATTAGGGCTAGGTTAGGGTTGGGATTAGCACTAGCCCTGTTTACATCTCGTGACCTATGACCAAACTTGATGTTGGCCTTATCAAATAGATCTAACCAATCCACCCCCACCCCCCTTCAGAATAAAAAAGTTAAAGTTTTAACTGGACGTATTTATTGTGCTTTTATTTACATATACACACACATATATATATATATATAGAGAGAGAGAGGGACATAAATCGATATCAAAATAAAACTGTTAAATAATGTAAAAAGTCTCAAAAGATGTAAATATATATATAAAAATTCTTATCAATTACAAGTTTGACTGCTTTCAGCAATATTACATTGGTGGTTATTTAGCCTATATTTAAAACAGAGAGAGAGAGAGAGGATTTTACGTCCTCTCGACACAAACTAGGTCATTTCGGGACTAACATGTGGCTGAATTCAAAACAGGGAGAAGTAGAGTAAAATATTTCAGTTAGACAAAACATAGATATTCTGAATGTTTAATACATTTTAAAATTGATTCTCTCTGTGTTATTTGTATTTTTCGGAAAACGTCAACATTTTCACGACTAAGATGTACCCGAATTGATTATTTAATTAAGGGAATCAAAATATCAACGCTAGAAAATATCCTGGCTTGGATTAAAATACTTGAGGGAACTGTGCCACTTTTGGACTGGAATGCGTAATAGAGATTTATCATTCACAATTTTGAAGTTTGCAAGGTGTGTGCGCGGGGAGGCGGGGGGAGGGGGGGGGGGTACTTGATCCACTAAATGACGTTCAGATACTTTTTTTAAAAATAAAACCATGTTTTGTACACCGATAATCGAAAGCCGGTAGTGATTTTGTTTAATAAAATGTGCGGTTTATTTACATGATCACTCAAGTTTTTACAATAGTTTAACTAGGTCCAGACCATGATCACTCAAATTGTTTTACAATAGTTTAACTGGGTCCAGATTTGTTTGGAGGTGAACTACAGAATGTTGAGTTGGATGGCCTGGTTATTTTTTTATTCACTAAGTATCTTATTTCTTCGTAGCCTAAAGGCCGAATTTCAAGTTCCTCGTCTAACGTATCTTCATGATCTCTGAAAACAAAGAGACAAACGTGTATCTGTAAAGATATGATATTTTGTACAAATCAGTAACAAGAGTAACATATTGACAAAGATAACATCTGTCAGTAACAGACTAACATATGTCAGTAACAAGAGTAACATCTGTCAGTAACAAGATTAACATCCGTCAGTAACAAGAATAACATATTGACAAAAGTAACATCTGTCAGTAACAAGACTAACATATGTCAGTAAAAAGACTAACATCTGTCAGTAACAAGATTAACATCTGTCAGTAACAAGATTAACATCCGCCAGTAACAAGAGTAACATCTGTCAGTAACAAGAGTAAGATATTGGCAACGGTAACATCTGTCAGTAACAGATTAACATACTGACAGTAACAGATTAACATACTGACAATAACCGATTAACACACTGACAGTAACAGATTAACACACAGACAGTAACAGATTAACATACTGACAGTAACAGATTAACATACTGACAGTAACAGATTAGCATATTTAAAGCCCCTAATCGCCAGTACCTAAAATGATTAAGCTTAGAAAACTAAACACAATTTTTAACGGTAAAAAATCTCCAGACTTGGATTCAATCAGATTAAAATGATTAAGTACCTAAAATGATTAAGCTTAGAAAACTAAACACAATTTTTAACGGTAAAAAATCTCCAGACTTGGATTCAATCAGATTAAAATGAGGTCCATCAACAGATTTTATTCTTATAGATGGCGCTGGTTTGTTTATATTTTGTCTGTTAGTGCTAAATGATAAGACCAGCTCAGTTTTTCGTCATAGGTCACGGGTTGTAATCAGGGCTAGCGCTAATCCCACCCCTACCCCTAACCCTGGACCTAGCCCCAATGCTTACCCTAACATGCAATCTCACCAACAAACACGTGGCCTAACCTTATTTACAATTGAGCTGAACTTAACAAATAGATTTAGCCATATTTCGTCTGCACAGGAAACCGAATGTTGCAAAATTTTCGGTATCTGTAAATATTGAGCTAAAATGAATCATTTTTGGATTGATAGTGATATTTCTGTAGGCTATTTAACCCTCACAATATTGTATTTTACAAGGGCTTCAACAATCCTTCAAATGACCGTCAGCGACTTTAATAAAAATAAAAAAATCCTGTACCCTAAAGTTGGAGCTTTTATTGATATTGGTTTTGGTCTTTCTGTCTTTATTTCTACAGGCTCTTTGTCTTTATTACGACCATCCTTCTCGGGTTCAGCTTTCTACAAATATATAAACAAGGCCTTTAGATTGATTATTACATACACCTTTACTCAAAACGTTAAAGAGTTCGGCCTTTTAATTGAGAGACCAACATATGGGTCAATTTTATTTCAATAATTCGCTAGCATGTAGGAATCTTTAGCAGTGGGAGGAAACCGGAAGACCCGAAGAAAACCCCAAGTGGTTGGATAGGCGACCCTATTCCTTATCACGTACAAGCGGATAATCGAAACCACGCCACTTGACTCAATGACAGACCTTATGGTTTCACGCGCATACTGAAACAATGTAAGTAAAATTATAACAACGTGTTGAGTAATGCGCGTGTTGTGATTCGTCGACCCAAATCAACTCACCAATCAAAATCAGAAAATTACGCGACAGCCTTTGAAAGGGGACCCTACTCCTTGTCACGTACAAACTTAAAATCGAAACAACGCGGTGACTCGGTGAGTGAGACGTTGGCTTGCTAACCCGGAGGTCCCGTTTTCGATCCCGGTGTTGACTGAGAATGCTCAGCGGGATATTCCGGCACGGTTCCCCGTGTCAGTGATGCAACATATAGTTGTTGGGGTGGGACAAAAAACCGAGGTCCCATGTACACATCTGTACCCTTGATAGTTGGCATTCGATATAAGAGTAGGCCGTGGCGCCGGTGTGCGGGCAAAATTTCCGTCATAGAACACTTTATAGTGTATGCCCGTCTTCATTATCCAAGTCAGTGCAGAACAGTAGGACGTTAAACCCCATTTCATTTAACTCGATCATATCACTCGGTCACCTAGTACCCCTACGATAATAAGATCCAATACTTACCTTCAGGCCTGGAAATAACGGCCAGACACTAATGAAATAGTACCTGACATTTTCAACTTAGTGCCGGACATGTATTAATAATATCAATAAAAAAAGACAAATCAGTACCGGACAAAATGACAGGCACCAGAGGTTTAGTGGCTGACAAAGCCTGAATCTGTGCCTGACATTGTCTGTGGTGGCAGGCTTGACTTACCTTCATATCAATGTAGTGTTGAATGTGTAACAAATCCATTGTACGCTGTTCAATAATACCCATATATAGCAATATATTATTTTCCGTTACTCCGTCTTCACATGCAAGCATTTCATTAATGGCCGACCTGTCACATTTTAAACAGTTGAACAACGATTCGACGCCATCTGTTAACTTCTCCACTATATCAACACATTCGTCGATTCTCTCCTCTGTCTCTTCCATTTCCTCCTTGGCACATTTAGCCTGGAACTGTTCCATACAAAAAAACAAATTACAAACTGAATCAACTGAAGTTATTTAATTCCGTGAATAATTTGGAGGTCATGATTACAAAGCCATATTTGTCAAGTTTCGTTTAAAGGGGCATTATGGGAGATTTGATAAAGAGCTGGTAGTTCTCACTAAAAATAGTTAAAAACTAGATAATGTAAAGGGAATTTGCTGAAAATTTCAGTCAAATTGATCCACTATGAACCGAGATATTAGTTTTTGAATTTTAGGCCTTATAGGCTCGATCATCATTACTAAAATATAGTCTCGACTATCCATTTTTGGATTTAATCATCAATGAGCGTTGAGCAGCAGATCAGATTCAAATCCAGAAAATATCGCAAGGTAGCGATGACATCGAGAGTTAATAATGATCTGGATAAGTTAATTAATGTCTAATTAATAATTTAGATAACATTTCAGGCCTAAAGAAAGACCTGCAATAGGCAGATTTACCTCTTGCATAATGTATGTTTAAAGGGACTAAACCTCTAACTCAATACTATCCATAATATTGGAAATTAAAAACACAAATTAGAATTCAATATTGGTCCATGCCAATCAATATTGATTTTAGCATGAAGACATAGAATCCTGATACCAAATACTTAACACACAGTTAACATTTTAAAATCAGTACACGACGTTGGGAGAGAAAGTGAGAGATAGAGAGATGGGATTTAACGTCCACTCGACATAAACTAGGTCATTTCGGGACTAACACATAGTTCAATTTTATTTCACTAATTCGCTTGCGAGTAGGGGTCTTTAGCAGTGGGGGGAACCGGAGGACCCGGAGAAAACCCACGAGGTTGGACAGGCGACCCTACTCCTTGTCACGTACAACCGGGGAATCGAAATCACGCCAGTTGACAGACCTTATGATACAGCGTGTACTCACTAACCATTCGGCCATCCACCCCACACCCCTTAATTCCTATTAGAGATTCCACTGTTACAATATAGCATGTGTGTGTGTGTGTTAGTTGTATTTGTAAGTGATTCTTATATCGTCTAGGGTATCACGTGGCTAAGTGGGTAAGACGCTGGCTCGCTAGCCTGGGCCCGGTTCCTAGAAAATTCTTAAAGTAAGCACAAAGTCATGCTTCACCTTTTCTTACGTAAGAAACTCTATAAAAACGCCGACCATTCTTACGAAAGCACAAGTCAAGTATAGTTCTAAGCACATTGTGACTGGTAAAGTTTACCATAAACTGAAACTAGTATGCTCTTTAACGTCATAAAAACAACTTTGGTATGCGAATTACGTCTTAAATTAATTGTCGTCTGCTTCATTGACGTCATATGGTTCATTTCGATGCATTTGACATGTCCCCTATTCACATATAAAATGTGCCACAAGATAAAAAACGCAGACACATACAAACTTACTGAATAATTGTGAGAGCGCCTGATCTTAAAGTAGCCTGTGTGTTTGTAGCCTATTGTTTACTAATTGGCAAATAAATAAAATGGTTTCAGGGTAGGCCTAGAAACGAAATTTTCTATAGCATTCTTAATTTGAAATTTCTTCTGGAGAAGGATTTTCTCTGTCTTGTAATTGTCTCTTTGGTGTCAAAAGGTGTCGGAAATGCCGTCGAATAACTCTACGGTCAGCCATCTTTTTTGAAGCAGAAACAGACTTAAGGTTGGTAAGCAAGCCGTATACCTTGCTTGGGACTTGTGCTGAGATTGACTATGTTTAAGAACGAAGTTGTGCTTAAGTTTTTTCTTGGAACGCATAATAACGTTCTTGTGCTTACAATGAAGTCTACTTAAAATGTCGAATAACTCTACGGTCAGCCATCTTTTTTGAAGCAGAAACAGACTTAAGGTTGGTAAGCAAGCCGTATACCTTGCTTGGGACTTGTGCTGAGATTGACTATGTTTAAGAACGAAGTTGTGCTTAAGTTTTTTCTTGGAACGCATAATAACGTTCTTGTGCTTACAATGAAGTCTACTTAAAATGTCGAATAACTCTACGGTCAGCCATCTTTTTTGAAGCAGAAACAGACTTAAGGTTGGTAAGCAAGCCGTATACCTTGCTTGGGACTTGTGCTGAGATTGACTATGTTTAAGAACGAAGTTGTGCTTAAGTTTTTTCTTGGAACGCATAATAACGTTCTTGTGCTTACAATGAAGTCTACTTAAAATCTAAGCACAAGAACGTTCTTAAGAATTTTCTGGAAACACAAAATAAGGTAAGTTTACTTAAATGCAAAGTTTACTTAAATCTAAGCACAAGAACGTGCTTAAGAATTTTCTAGGAATCGGGCCCTGGAGAGAGGGAGAGAGAGAGAGAGAGAGAGAGAGAGAGAGAGAGAGAGAGAGAGAAATGGGGTTTAACGTCCACTCGACACAAACTAGGTCATTTCGGGACTAACATATGGTTTAATTTTATTTACATAATTCGCTTGCGCGTAGAGATCTTTAGCAGTGGGAGGAAACCGGAGGCCCCGGAGAAAACCTACGAGGTTGGACAGGCGACCCTACTCCTTGCCACGTACAACGCCAGTCGACTCAATGACAGACTTTATGATACAGCGCGCGCACGCTAACCGTCGCTAGCCTGGAGGTCGGGTGTTCGATCCATGCATTGGCCGAGAAAGTGCATTCAGGTTTTTCGTCGTGGTTCCCTCTTTTCAGTGATGCAGGACGGAGGGCCTGACAAGGACAACTGTCTAGTCGTTCGGATGGGACGAAAAACCGAGGTCCCGTGTACACATTGGCATGCACGTAAAATATCCCTTGACAGTTGGAATTCGATATAAGTGTAGGCCGTAGTGCCGCTGTCTGGGTAAAATATCCCTCATAGCACACTGTATGGCGTATGCCCGTCTTCATTAGCCCAGTTCGGAGCAGAACAGTAGGACGGTAAACCCCATTTCATTTCATTTTTCATAACGTTCATGGACTTTAACAGTTCGCCTATATATACCTTGAATTCTTCGTAGAAATCCTTTCTGTCGGTCTGCATCTTGAAATCATCTTCTTCAAAGCGGCAGATTTCCTGTTTGATGTTTATGATCTCTTCTTGTAGATTGTCCACTTCATTATTCAACTCATTCACAAAATTAAAGAACGCGAAATTCTCATTTTCTTTTGTCAGGAACTCTTTCGTGATCGTGTTTATATCATCTTGGCCAGTGATCTTTTTAATTTGTTCAAAAGCCTCTTCAAAACTTTCTATTTGAGCAACTACAGCACCAATGTCTCCATCGCGTTTATCTGAAACAATAGGAAAGGACTTTCAAAAATAGATCAAATTACACTCTTATCATGGACGGGGGAGAGAGAGAGAGAGAGAGAGAGAGAGAGAGAGGGGGGGGGTTAACGTCGACTCGACACAACTTAGGTCATTTCGGGACTAACATATGGTTCAATTTTATTTCAATAATTCGCTTGCGCGTAGGGGTCTTTTAGCAGTGGGAGGAAACCGGAGCACCCGGAGAAACCCAGCGAGGTTGGACAGGCGACCCTCAGTGCAGAAAAGTTGGACGTTAAACCCTATTTCATTTCATTCATTAATGTTTGTATTCTAAGGCCCGTTTTCCATGTACGCGTTTTCGCGTGCGAAAAATTCGGTTTAATGCAAATGTAATGGGGGCCGTTTCCATGTAACCGCTGAAAACGCGCGCGGAAACGGGCCTTCATTCGACGCTCAACGTACTTTTGTTCTTTTTGGCTTCTTCCTCTTCCTTGAAATCGGCTCTATCACTAGATTTGATCATCATAAATTCCTTGAGTTTATTATCGTGGTCTATTATTCTCTGTAATTCTTTCATCTCAACCTCGTGCTGAAACTGATCTTTTTCATTTCTGTCTTTTAGAGCCACCATTATATTATGGGCCTCGTCTCTTTAAAAAAAAAATATAACACAATTCTTTAACAAGAAACATTCAATCTGATTAAAACACAAATCCTATTTCGTTACGTTTTTCTTATTTCAAAATTTAAAATTTCATTTTACTTGTCTTTACTACACCAGGATCTGCGATAGTTATTATCATTGACGTGTTGTTGATGATGTGAGGGATTAGCCAATGAAACGGCGAACTTTTGGCGTGTGGTGCACGGAACTGTGGGTAACGTCCACTCGACACAAACTAGGTCAGTTCGGGTCTAACATATGGTTTAATTTTATTTCAATAATTCGCTTGTGCGTAGGGATCTTTAGCTGGGGGGGGGGGGTGCGGGGGCGGAGGTTGGACAGGCGACCCTACTCCTCGTCACATACAACCGGGGAATCGAAAACACGCCAGTTGACTCAATGACAATCCTTATGATACAGCACGCACGTGCTAACCATGAGGAAAATAAATAACAAATCATAAAAACAAAAGGTCACAGGCCTTAAGTTCAATAAACATTCTTAGACTTGCGTCAAGAATTTACCCAAAATTGTTCGACTCATTTGAACTAAAATATAGTCTTTTTTAAAACTTTGTTGTTTTAATGTATCAAATACATCATTAAGATACTATGTGCAAAGTTTTATGTTTCTGGACCAAAGATATTTCTCATAAACAGTGATTGAAAGATGAGTAAATTCTTAACTTAAAGATACATTATGGGAGATTAGATAAATATTTGGCAGTTCTCACTATAACAGTTAAAAACTAGATAATGTAAAGGGAATTTGGTGAAAATTTCAGTCAAATTGATCCACTTTGAACCGAGAATATAGCGATTGAATTTTGGGCCTAGCCTCAATAATCATTACTAAGGTCGGTAAAATAAAAAAACATAGTCTCGAGTATCCAGTTTTGGATTTAATCATTAATGAGCGTTGAGCAGCAGATCGGATTCAAATAGGTAGATTTAGCTCATGCATGATGCATGTTTAAAGAAAGGCCAGAATATCACGTACCTTTGTTCATAGGCTTGAGACGCTTCTTGAATAAACTCGCTGGAACCTTTTCTGAGTTGTTGTAACTCAGTATTTAATTTATTGTAGAAGATCTCAAACATGCCTTTTTCTCGGCGTGAATGGTCTATCTCTAACCTTAGTTCAGCATTCACTGCCAACTGTTCGTTAAACTTTACCGTGCTCTGTAATGTATATTTTGCAATTTATATTGATTCTTGTGTTGTCTTAGTATAGTATTGTTAATTTTATGATTCTACAAATGAAATGAAATGGGGTTTATCGTCCTACTGTTCTGCTCCAACTGGGCTAATGAAGACGGGCATACGCCATACAGTGTGCTATGGGGGAAATTTTACCCGGACAGCGGCACTACGGCCTACTCTTATATCGAACTCAAACTGTCAAGGGATCTTTTACGTGCACGCCAATGTGTACACGCGACCTCGGCTTTTCGTCCCATCCAAACGAATAGACAGCTGTCCTTTTCAGGCCCTCCGTCCTGCATCACTGACCAGAACACCCGATCTCCAGACTAGCGAGCCAGCGTCTTACCCACTTAGCCACCGTGATCCCCTTATTATTTTGTAATCTTTATATTTGTACCATTGTAAGGCACATCTGAAGTCATTATAGCTTTATTTATCGTCCACTTCCACCGCAGTGATATCGCCCACACTATTGTTGTTGTCGTTTATTACAATTTACCAATTTGACGTCCTGGGCCCGGTTTCTGAAAGCTCTGTTAACTTTTAACGACTCGTTACTATGGAGTTAATGGATCGTTATATTTAACGGAGAGAGAGATGAAATGAATTGAAATGGGGTTTAACTTCCTACTGCTCTGCTCCTATACTGGGCTAATGAAGACGGGCATACGCCATATACAGTGTGCTATGAGGGAAATTTTGCCCGGGCAGCGGCACTATCGCCTACCCTTATATCGAATTCCAACTGCAAAGGGATCTTTTACGTGCATTCCAATGTATACACAGGACCTCGGTTTTTCGTCTCATCCGAAAAGAGAGAGAGAGAGAGAGAGAGAGAGAGAGAAATGGGGTTTAACGTCCACTCGACACTTGAAACTAGGTCATTTCGGGACTAACATATGGTTTAATTTTATTTCGATAATTCGCTTGCGCGTAGGGGTCTTTAGCAGTCGGAGGAAACCTGAGGACCCGGAGAAAACCCACGAGGTTGGACATGCGACCCTACTCCTTGTCACGTACAACCGGGGATTCGAAACCACGCCAGTTGACTCAATGACAGGCCTTATTATACAGCATGCACGTTCTAACGATTCGACCATACACCCCACCTATATCTAACGGAAATAAAATCGCTGGAAGCCCTGTTAACTTTAACATGTTGTTAACTTGCCGTTATATCTAACGGAGGTGTTGGGCTCCGTCATCGGTCTAACGATGGCATTAGTCGGCGGTCAGTCGAAAATATCCTTAGCAAAAAGTCATAGATTAACAGTGTAATTTTCTATAAATGGTTGGGCGATGGAGGGGAGGTGGGCAGGTGGCTATTCCATTTTCTATAGGATGGAATTCTACATGTATAGTATTCAACCGAATTCTTGGCCCCTGTAGAAAATAATGGCCCCAAATATTCTACAGTTACTGTAGTGCAAATCACACAATATTTCCTACAGATTTATGCTAAAATGCTATAGCGCCAATTGTGCAAAAATCGCAACACGAAGATTTGGAAAAATTGGAACGCTGTAGATCCAATAATTGCCGACCATTTCGGACGGGGAGAACCCTCTGGACCCGCATCCCTGGATCCGCATCCTCTGATTAACACTGACCTGATCAAGCCTGTTCTCTAAAACAGTGGTTCTTTTCTGTATCATCATCTCTGATGGAACACTATCAACTGGTTTTCTTTCTACACGGATTTCTTTCTCTATTTTTCTTATCTGTGGTAAATTAAATAAAATGGGGTTTAAAGATACATATATGGGGGAATAGATAACGAGTTGGCAGTTCTCACTACAATAGTTAAAAACTAGGTAATGTAAAGGCAATTTGCTGAAAATTTAATTCAAATTGATCCACTATGAACCGAGAATTAAGCTATTGAAATTTCCGCCTAGCCTCGATCATCACTACTAAAGTCAGTACGATAAACAGCATAGTCTCGATTATCCATTTAATCATTAAATCGTGAAGGAAAGTTATGCAGTAAATCGTCTCATAATCCACTAAATATCGCAGGCAAGCGATGCCATCGAGTGTTGATTATGGTCTGGATAGGTTAATTAATGTCTAATTAATAATTTGGATGACATTTCAGGCCTAGAGAAAGACCTGCAATAGACAGATTTAGCTCTTGCATAATGTATGTTTAACGTCCTGCTTTTCTGCAACAACCGGGCTAATGATGACGGTATATGCTGTGAGGGAAGCTTTGTCTACTTTTATTTCTTTTTTCGAATTTCAAATGCTACTCCGTCCTGCATCACGCTGGAAAATTATGAGGATCTACCTCGGCTTTCACCGTCAACTGGCGTGCATTCGATTCCCCGGTTGTACTTAACAAGGAGTAGGGTCGCCTGTCAAACCTCGTGTGTTTTCTCCCACTGCTAAAGACCCCTACGCGCAAGCGAATTATTGAACTAAAACTGAACCATATGTTAGTCCTGAAATGACCTAGTTTGTGTCGAGTGGACGTTAAACCCCATTTCTCTCTCTCTCTCTTTCCCTCCGTTAAATATAACAATCCTTTAACTTCATAGTAACGAGTCGTTAAAAGTTAACAGAGCTTTGAGAAACCGGCCTCTCGCTCTCTCTCTCTGAAAATCGAGTATAGACAATATGGTCTTAATACCTCCTCATCTAATTTTCTTATCTTCTCTCTCTCTTCATCTTTCTGCTGTTTATAGCAATCTTCTTTTTCTACTAGTTCTTGTAACATCATCGTGTTATTCTCATCCCAGTTCGAGTTCCTCTCGCTCTCAGTCAATCGTAAAACTGTGCTAATCTCTCGGTTTTCCTTCTGCAGAGCTTTAATTTGAATTCTGCAAAATAGATGGAAAATCATGATCGCCATTTTGTTGAGCTTTGATAGATCCCACCCGACCATACGTTCGTAAAGCCGTATCGTCCCGATGGATGTTACGGGAGCAGATCTGAACTGAAATGCCTGAAAAAATTCCCGTTTTCGCCGGCCGCCGCGGGGTATGGGAAACTCGCCCTCCCTGAGAAAATTTTGAAAATTTAACCGCCGCATATGCGTTTTTCTGCTATTCTAGCCCGTGAGTCAAGCGGCTTCAAAATTGTCAAATGGTTTTGCAACCTAAATCCCATATACCGACCTGAATCCAAATCAGCTAATCAAACTGTTGGAGCTGCATTAACAGATGCCGGAAAAATGTCCACAAAGCAGTGCGGCTCCAGATAAAATGTTTTAATCCATAGTCAATTCAATACAAATTCGGGGTATAATTCAATAAACAGAAAAAGAAAAAAAAAATAGTGTTTTATTAGACTTCGGGCACTTCGTTTTGCAATTTGATTAAAATTCAGATCTATATTTCGTTTCGTTTTTTTTTTATACGTTCGATGGCCTCTACATACATGAAGATCTGACCAGTTGTAACTGGAGGTCGCATCAGAGGTCATAGTTATTACGAGCGGCTTTGGATCCTATGACGTTAGACATTTGATTAACCAATCCGTGTTGATGTGTCTAGTGGATTACCCACAGTTCCATGCAACTCACGTCAAAAACTCGCCGTAACAGGCGGTTTCATTCGCTAATCCCTCACATCAAACCAGAACGCGGGTTATATAACAACTCTTCCAGATCCTAGTGTAGTAAAGACAAGTAAAACGAAATTTTGAACTAAAAAAACGAAACGAAATAGGATCTGTGTTTTAATCGATTGTTTATTTTGCCAACTAGATTATATCATATTTTTTCTCCCACTTTACCCGTCTTCCCGGAAAGTCAGATTGACCAAAAGTTAGCGGGGAAGGTGCCCCCACCCCTTGCCTCCCCTACGCCATTTTGTTCACATTACGCGGTAATACGTTGGGCTAAGTACATGGGGGGCACGCCAACAAGCTATCAGTGAAATGCAACAAACGAACCATACCCTGCCTCGTACACTGTTGTTTTTTTACTCCCGCTAAGAGATAAAGCATGCAGACGACCTTTCTGCGATACCACCCAAGAATACAAGCGAACGTTAACTCCCCAATTCTGAAATACCAAAGACATTCTTCTGAATTTAAACATGGAATTATTGGAGAAAACTAGATATGTCATGAGAAAAATCGTACCTTTGTCTCTTAAGAATACGTTCTGTTTCTTCAGCATAAGCTCGTTTGTCGTGCTCCATGACACGAATTTGGTGGATTAGTCGAGACTTATCCGCCAACAGCGCGGCCTCTTGAACCGCCATCTCGTTAACCTCCTCATCTCCCGAATCTCCGTCAATATCTGTCTGAGGCTGACGCACCATCTTTCAATGCGGTTGTCTTTCTTTCTACTTCATCAAACTAAAAGGAGAAAAGTGACACTATATGGTATTAAGAGAGAGAGAGAGAGAGAGAGAGAGAGGGAGAGATGGGGTTTAACGTCCAATCGACACAAATTAGGTTATTTCAGGACTAACATGGTTCAATTTTATTTCAATAATTCGCTTGCGCGTATATTGGTCTTTAGCAGTGGGAGGAAACCGGAGGAACCGGAGAAAATCCACGAGGTTCGACAGGCCACCCTACTCCTTGTCATACGTAGGCCTACAACAAACCGGGAAAATGAAACCACGCCAGTTGACTCAATGACAGACCTATGATACAACACGCACGCGCTAACCATTCGGCCATCCAGAGAAGAACTTCGCGATTTGACATTGATAGTCATATATATAACAGAAGAAGAATTACTAACCAGGCTAGCCTACGTGTAAGACTGAAGGAAAGGGGTCGTTGGGGTCTAGGCCTATGGCCTAAATACTAACTAGCCTACTCCACGGCATTTTCAACTTCTCGTTTGTTAACCGTAGATGCTAAGCTGACGTAGACATTTAATATTTTATTAATAGATCTATATGAAATATATAAATTTGCCCGCCCGCCAATCAACTTTTTAAAATTAGTGACCTTACCTGATTGCTGCCATCCTTGGTAATAATATTATTGTCAAGGCATCGTTATGGACAGCTGATTATGACGTCATTTTTATTGTGACGCGATAGTACACACTGTGTGGCATAGAAATAGTCCCCTCGCCCCGCACGTTTAGTACTTAAAAATGATAAGGCCAGCCCAATTTTTCGTCATTATTATGTCACGAGATGTAAACAGGGCTAGCGCCGTACGTTACTAACGTACCAAAACTAAATGGTAGCTGGTTTTGTGTGTGTGTGTGTGTGTGTGGGGGGGGGGGGGGTCGGGTCCATCTCCGCAGGTAGAGTGTCTCTGATGTTCAGAATGGGCTAGTAGGCCTATTTTTAATAAAACTAGGAAATATCACGAACTAATTTTTCATCGTCCTAGGTCAGTGCTTTTGTGGAGACTTAACCTCTCCCCCAAATTCTTAAACCTAACCTACAATCTCGCCAACAAGCACGTGTCCTAACCTTATTTGCATCTCGGCGACCTTGACAAAAACTGAGCTGGACTTAACAAATAGATTTAGCCTCCCCTGCACCCCGCCACCCCCTGGTAACCAATCTGAACGATTGACAGACCCACCCTGCCAACAGAGAAATGAAAAGGCTAGCTACCGTTACGTACGCCCCGGTAACTTCTTTATGGGCCATGGGGGCCACGGTGGTTCAGCGAGTATGGCTGAGAAAATTCCTGAGGATTTCCCAGCTGATTAAGTCATGAATTCGGGGGAAACGAAACTCCGAGGTCTTGTGTATAATTGGCAGTCTGGAAATTGAAATAACTAAGGGACTTAGGGAGACCGTAGCGCCGATGCTGGGGCAAAATTTACCCTTAATGCACACTAATGCCCTTTGCCATCATCCCTGTGCAGAAGGGGTGAAGATCCATACGTCACAGAGGCTCTGGGCACTTTAAAGAATGTGGTGCCCCCATACATATAAACCCCATTATAAACAACAAAATCAATAATTTGCCAAAATGACGTTTATATACGTCATGTTATTAATTGAGACAAAGCCGGTAACACTGTAGCGCCAATGCTAGGGCAAAATTTACTCTTAATGCGCACTAATGCCCTACGCCATTATGCCTGTGCAGGTTGGGATTAAGACCCATACGGCATAGAGGCCCTATAGGCACTTTAAAGAATGTGGTGCCCCCATAAATATATAAACCCCATTATAAACAACAAAATCAATTTGTCAAAATTGAGACAAAGCCGGTAACAGTAAAAAAGACAAAAACATAAAAAATTAATTAAGAGTTCTTAATTATTTCTTATTTTTTAAATTAAATACCGGGTATTTTAAAAGCTGTCATCTATATAAATTTGGTATGACGTTAAACATTTCATTTCACATCCTAGCATTTTTCACTTCTGGGTAAACAACAGTTCTCTCCGCATGAAACAAGGGTATTTTCTTAAAAATAATAATAAAAAAAACTGTGAGGGTCCCCTGCGGATTGTGAGACACTAAATCTTTATTCGGCACTGTTTATTCGGTATTTAATTCTTGTTACATCAAAATTAGAAAAACTATGCACAAATGATTTATTATGTCATTTTATTGAAAACGCCTTATTTATTGAAAAAAAAAACGAGATATTTAAATTTTAACTTCTACCCCTACATCCATCTAAAAAAAAACTTTCAAGCTCTACCAGAAGAATGAGATTTTGCGGTTTCAGAAATTTCGCAACAAGAGTTAACTTTCCTTGAATAACAGATGGAGCTAAGATCAATGATGGCTGAATGACGATTTGTAAAATCTACTATTGAAAATAATAATTTTAAACACTATTAGGCTACTTCACGTTTGGTTGTTCAATGGTTCGATGAAAATTATCAAAAGGAAATCTTTTATATAAGGTAATATTTGTGAAATGCATCTGAACCGAAAACCAACTCTAAAGCAGAGATTAGACAAAGTAAAAATATAAATAAGGAATCGGATCAACGAATCAATCGATCACAAGAATTAGAAAACGTCAACAAAATATTAATCTTATAATTAAGAACAGACAATAAAAATAATAAGCTTTAAATAATAACAATGAAATAATCTAAAATATGATTATGGAATAGCCTACATTGTATAATAAGCTATTCCATAATCATAGATTATATTCTAACTAAGCTTACCAAATAATTAAGATCAAGGACAGTCATTCCTTACTGATTGGTAAGATTGTTCATGTACCTTTTATAATGTATTATATTTATATGGTCCATGGAAATGGGTTGTTGTTGGGGTCTTTCCTGTGTAGGAGGAAACCGAAGTTCTGTACCCAGAGTAAACGCATGATGAGGTTGAAAAGGCCCCCCCATCTCCAAGTCACATTCGCTCACATCGGGAGTTGAAACTATGACTGGTACCTAGCCTAACCCCTAAATAGTAGACCTATTTAACTAGTAGTAGACTGAATAATCATGCTTTAATATACATGTAGAGCAAAGCTCTAATGCATCGCGCGAAGCGCGGTGATTGAGCAAAGCTCTTTTCCGGTAACACAGGAGCGTAACTGAAATTGTCACCCACAGACTGTTTATTAAAAAAAAATTCAGACCAGAACCGGATACACTGGGCAAAACAGGCAACGCGCATGTCAACTTACCAAATCTCGCCCAAGCGAGATTACGCGCCTCATAGAACGTTAAACCCCATTTCTCTCTCTCTCTGTTTACTAGTGATGTTATTACTGATAGGCATCCTTTAGTCTTTATCAAACAAATTTAATAAAAAGAGAAAACAAGAATCATATGAATGTTTCAGGGATTGTATGAACCAAGCTGAAATTTATAAATGGATGAGTGGGGGAGTTTGACTTAAACATGCATTATGCAAGAGCTAAATCTGCCTATTGCAGGTCTTTATTTAGGTCTGAAATGTTTTCTAAAGTATTAATTAGACATTAATTAACTGATCCAGGCCTTAATCAACTCTCAATGGCATCAGTTTTCTCCGATATTAAATAGATTAGAATGGTTCAGCGATACTTTGATTTAATCAAATATGGAGGACCAAGACTTAGCTTCGATCAACCAGTATGGTGGTTGAAATTATTACACACGTCTGTCAAACCTTCAAAGGCTAATATCTTTGCTTGCAATAGAGTAATTTGAATGAAATTTTCAAATTATTCATTTTACATCATCTACTTTCGATCTATTATAGCAAGAATGGCTAGTTCTTTATCTAAATCTTACATAATGTATCTTTAATGGTTGATCTGGTGAATTATCTGCTAAATAAAGCTATACTCCATACGGTACCATGTGTTAGTCTCAGATTGTTGTATAAAGTTCACTCTAAACCCCTCTCTCTCTCTCTCTCTCTCTAAATTTATTATTTCATTATGAGAACTTGAGTCTTGATTCAATTGACAATTGTCTTGAATCAACAAACTTACATGGAAATAATTAATAGATGATTTCTGTCCGTCATTTCAGAGTTTATAAAAGAAGAAAAGCGAGATGTATAACGGTATAGGTCTCGAGACAGCTAGAGGTAGTGGAACTAATGGCTACGTCACACGAAATCTCTCCTTCATCAAAAAACATAAAGACAGAGTGGATTATAAATCGGAGGAAGAGGTGAAGAAATTAGAGCAGTCGTTAGTAAAACAACCGAATCTAGAAATATTACAGCATGAGAGAAAGAGAAAGGTGGAGTTAAAATGTATGGAGATGCAGGAATTGATGGAGGAACAAGGGTAAGTTGTGTTTTTATTAAACACGGGTTGGGTTTCTTTGATTCCACGCTTGTGCGTGACAAGGAATAAGGTCGCTTGCCCGACCTCTTGTGTTTTCTCAAGGTCCTCCAGTTTCCTCACACTGCTAGAGTCCCCTAGACGCAAGCAAATTGTTGAAATAAAATTGAACCATATGTTATTCCCGAAATGACTTAGTTTGTGTCGAGTGGATGTTAAACCTAACCTTTATAAACATAAAGACCCTAACATACATTTTTGCACAAGGAATATGTACGTTGTGTGATAATTTGTGTGTGACAAAGTCTGAGACAAGGTGCCTTATGTAATCTAGTCTTGTATGTTAGAGTCTTTGTGTTTATAAAGGTTTACACGTTAATATTATTAAATTAACAAAATGGCAGCAGGCTTATTGCATAGATTGTTGAAATTTCAATACAACATACAATACAACAAAATTAAATATGTCGGGTACATACAACTTCTGTAGTACCAAATATATGATGAGATTCAAAAAGAAGTGATTATTTCTAGAGCTGCTTGTATCTTCAAGTCTACAACATAAGTACAGTGGACTCTGTCACTTCCGACATCGGAATACTACGGTACTGTATTCTGTGAAATCCATCATCATTTTTATGTCTCGATTTATTTCCTTATTACTTCAACCAAAAACGTTTTGAGTAGCCCAGATTCTGAATATTCCGAATTACGACATCAATCAGCGGTCCCGTCACACGATTTGTGTTGAATTAACATTGGATAATCCGGCCTTCAATCAGTGGTCCCCGTCACACGATTTTCATTGAATTAACATTGGATAATCCGGCCTTCAATCAGTGGGTGTTAACCGACAAGAAATCACCAATCAATTATCTGTGCGCATAAAACACATGTCGGTCTTTGTTGATTACCTTGATAATTTAATCTCTTGTAAGAGAGCGCTTGGTATTTGATTTGAGTTTCTCACGTCAAATACACAATCAGCAAACCTCGGCAGATTCCGGTACTCTTCATCTAGTACTTCGGTATAATACTTTCGGCATTGGGGCAATTGAGTATTCCGACATGCTGTCTAATCTGACATATTGTATCGATCCTGTACGATGTTGGAATTGACAGAGTCCACTGTATATAGTATAATTTTCCTTTCTGAGATAGTTACAAAATGGCACATGACATGTACAATAGAATTTATTTGTAAGGTATAATATTCAGTTAGAAAATCAGTTGGGTTTTCATGACATTGATTAATTGATTCTATTCACTTGGAGGAGAGTATTCAGCCCAATGTAAATTTGTGAAAACGGTGGAGAATGAACAGTAAAGTTAAATTTGGAAATCAATTGTGGTCTGCATCCATTTGGATGTTAAAATCAGTAGTTATCTCCCCTGTATTATTCGTTGTCTGTGGTTGCTTTCCATGTCTGATTGTCCAGTTTGTGTTTGACAAATGGACAATATTGATAGCCCCAAGGGCTTAGGCAGGTGCAGGTAGGGGCCCTAGGGGCACGCCCCCTTAAATAACAATAAAACAAATTCACTGATTGTTCTGTTTCTATCAAATATTGAAATACATGTAATGGGTGATTTTGAGCTTTTTGGTGGCAGCGGAAGCAGTATAGTGAGGTTGGAGTTGATGAAAGTGGATGTTATTTTAGAGTCGAGATATGCGCCACAAATCACCAGTGACACCCTGGTTTTTCTAAATTTTCTCTGAGACACATCTATACCAAATATACTGCTTCTGCCACTGTCCAAGGGCTCATATCAGACCATTTTACGTTCTGATTCTGTCCCCTTATCTGAAATGAAATGAAATGGGGTTTAACATCCTACTGTTCTGCTCCTATACAAAGGCTTATGCCATACAGTGTGCAATAAGGGAAATTTTGCCCGGGCAGCGGCACTATGGCTATCTCTTACTTAAATCGAATTCCAGCTGCCAAGGAATCTTTTATGTGTACACCAATGTATACATGGGGCCTTATTTTTTCGTCCCATCTGAATGACTAGACAGCTGTCCTTGTGTTTCCTCATCTATTCTAAACCATTAGCAAGATAAATTGTTTAAGTGGCATTTAGTAACTGGATGAGAATAACACATGACACAATTATATGGAATAACAAGTTACTTGAAGAGTTTATTTCAGCGATGTTTCGACGAGGAATCGCTGAAATAAACTCTTCAAGTAACTTGTATTCCATATAATTGTGTCATGTGTTATTGGCAAGATACGTGTAATTGTTCATGTATTGAACCAAATTTTGTGGGTGTCCTACTTGAGTGGTGCTTATTGAAATTTGTACAAAGGTGATTATATGTGAAGCAATTAATTTAATGTGCCTGTTAATACTTTTTATCTACCTGATTTGGTAGGCAAGTTGATTGGGTCTTGCCCCTACCAGGGACCTTTTCACGAAAATCTAATGTCTTGCCTTGGACCTTTTAGCGCGTGCACGCTGTATCATACATGTAAGGTGTCTGTCATTGAGTCAACTGTGTGGTTTCAATTCCCCAGTTGTACGTGACAAGGAGTAGGGTTGCCTGTCCAATCTCATTGATTTTCTCCAGAGACCCTCTGGTTTCCTCCCACTGCTAAAGACCCCTACACATAAGCGAATTATTGAAATAACATTGAACCATATGTTAGTCCTGAAATGGCTTATTTTGTGTCGAGTGGATGTTAAACCCCATTTCTCTCTGGCGCACGCAACCTTTTTATTTGCTAAGAACTAAAATTTGTACTAGATTTTGAATTCTCAACCAATAAAACGACCATATCCATAAAATATTTTAAATTAAATTTTGTGAATAAGGCCCCAGATTGTTAAAGGGGAAAATTGGATCATTTAACAGTCCTTCATGTTTATAAAATTGTGTGGGAGCAATAAAAAGCTCCTGATACCTTGAATATATGCAGTTTAAAAGTAAACAAAAACTTAAAGTAGTTTATTAATCTCAATATTTAGGAGAGCGATTTAGCTAATTTGCAGGAGTCTTTAATGACTTCTTCGAAGGAAAGCCGACGTGCGTCGACAGGAGCAGGAGCAAAAGCTCCCCTTAAACGTGAAGGACTGATTTTAGTAAATTTTCTGCGTCTGAACTGCACCATTTGGGGATGAACATGTAGATAAATTCTTGACAAATAATCGAGAACCAAGGTAATCTAATAGATATTTTTGTAAAAAGAGCCCTGGTAAGGGAAGACCCAATCAATTTCACTACCAAACATGTAGATAAATTCTTGACAAATAATCGAGAACCAAGGTAATCTAATAGATATTTTTGTAAAAAGAGCCCTGGTAAGGGAAGACCCAATCAATTTCACTACCAAATATGGTTGTATTTTATTGATAAATACAAAAAAATACAATTAAACAATAAAAACAATAACAGCGATCCTAGTCCCCCCACCAGAAGAGAGAAGGGACATAACTCTATTCATATAATGGACCAATTCTGTCTATGTGGTAAAATTAACACTAGCTGTCGCAGCATGATGGAATTCAACTAAAGTTAGTAGGCTTATCCAGACTCTTTGAAATTAAGTTAGGGTAGAATTGGCAGTTGAACAGGACACCTTTAATATATAAATTTAATTTTCCCATGCCTAAAAATGGGCTCTGAATCATATTTCATAAACCGTTTAATATATATTTATGCAACCCTAGTACACACCTCAACCTATTATGATAGTTTATTGCAAATTTCCATTTAAGTCTTTTCACATACTCCTCGCAGTGTTTTGTTTGATTAGAGCTAATCCCACTTAACACTGCTGTAATGGAACCAAATTTCTGTTCCAAATTGTGACTGGTCAATAGTCAGATTAACAACCCATAGCTAACTGCGTAACAATATCACTACACTTTAAACAGAGTCTAAATTGGACCAAATATGTTTACATAATGTTACGCCATGACTCACGATTGCAATATTTTCTGGATTAGAATCCTATCTGCTGCTTAACGCTCATTGATAATTAAATAAAAAAATGGATAATAGAGACTATGTTTTTTATCGTACTGACATTAGTAATGATGATCAAGGCTAAAGCCAAAATTCAATCGCTAAAATCTCAGTTCAGTGTGGATCAATTTGACTGACATTTTCAGCAAATTTCCTTTACATTATCTAGTTTTTAACTATTATAGTGAGAACTGCCAGCTCTTTATCTAATCTCCCACAATGTATCTTTAAATTTCCATTGATCTGTTTATTATGGAATGCTCTGACGACTCAACAGCTGTTAGTGTATGTGCCATTGCCTGGCAACCTATCTTTATGAATATTTTTGGGTCCTAAACCAAATATTGGAAACACACTACAACTACCAGTCAACATGAATGTAATTAATGATATTAAATTTCCATGGGTTTATTTATTAAAAGCAAAAATCTAACAGAAGCCAGAGAAAAAATACATTTATCTGTATATTGAATTGTTACAAAATCATATTATTCCTGGAATTCCAACAACAAAAAAAAATCGAAATAATCAAATCAAAACAGGTAATGTGTTTCAGGAACGTGTCTAAAAGAATTGTTATCAAAATAATTCAGAAAAATAACAAGCATTGATGTTGTTGTGGGGAATTTAATGGGTATCACTCCTGTCTTTCTTTTTTTTATCCGCGTAAAGAAAATTAAAGAACCAGGTTTTAAAGCCAGTTGATGAAAATATATGAAGTAGTTTGATCGAGTTAAGTTAATGTAAAGATTTCTCTGGATGTAGTGATGTAATTAGACCAGCTTCTTCCCTTCTAGTATGGCGCTCTTGTTGTCTTGTAATTGCTCTGAACAATGTTTAGATCGTGTTCAACCCTCGTCAATATTCAATTAGAGTTAGGAAGAGTAGAATGTTATATTACTTTGATACCACATGTGCTGTACGTCCGTGGTTATAAGTGAACAAGACGCAACAAGATCAATGACAATGGAATTACACTCTCATATTTATACATAGACATTTGATATACTTTTATTTGGAGAGGGGGGGG